AGCAACACCAGTAGCAACACAAACAACAGCACTGAGTCCCATACTCAGATTGTGCTAAGTGTTTCTGTATTACTTCACTGGTTTTCAAATTTCCCCTTTCAGTGAAATCTTATCCCAATGCCCAATATTCAAAACAGAAAAGGAGAAGCTCCCAAAGTCTCTCTGGGCCATTTTCACAATGGCTGCTTTATCTCACTTAAAGTTTCTCTAGTGATGCTGAGAGTTATTTACTGTTTTAACTGGGCCTTGGAGAGCATTCGTAATGTGCTCAAAGCCAGATAGCAGGAAGATAATGGAGCCAAAATTGCATTTATTCAATCAACATGAACTTTTTGCCTGCCTCCTGTGTGCCAGATACAACTCTTGGCACTTGGAATACATCAGTGAACAAACAGTCAGAATCCCCTGTCGCTGGTGGAGCTTATATTCTGTCCCAGTGGATGTGAAGGCAGGTTTGTCTAATTCCAAAATGGTGTGGACTTCATGAGATACTACAGTGGCACTACTTGGATTCTTTGGTCTTCTCTCTTGTTCAGTCAACCTCTCTCTCCTGACCTGAGCCACAGTGGTATAATTCTACTTTCTTAGGGAGTATGCATATCTGGATGACTCACGATCAGCTTAAACGGATATATCCTAAAATCAGCATCTACCTGCCACCAAGCTGTCAAAACAATCGCCAGTGAATGGTAACATTCCTGCGGTGCTGGGAAGCCCACAAAACCCATTTATATATAGTCTCTTGCTTATTTCTCTTAACTACTGCACAAGCTACAACCAAGTCAGAAATTATGATCCTATCATACAGTTTGTAAAGGACAAAGTTATGAATGGGGGATGTGTACGTCAGTCTGCTGTTGGAGGGATGCAAAATGTGCTCATTTATTTTCTTTAAGTAAATTTCATTTAACACTGAATTTCATATCCTTCTCAGCTAATGGAAAATTCGACTTCAGTCACTCCTGGGGTTCCCTTCCCAAAGCCTGACCAAGATAACTTTTACTGTTATATTGGTCTGATCCCTTTAGGCCCAGCAGTTCTGCCATGCTTGCTGAGTGTGAGAAGCACAGCTGTTCCCTTCTGTGGTCAGGCCACCAACTTGGGCACTGCCAGGTAGAAAGCTGTGGGACCCACGAGATTTTGTAAGCCTCAGATCTTCGTTTCCTCCAAGGTCACCTGAAATTTCTCTTGTATTTTTTCCTCTGTGGCATGTTCTCTCTCTTCACCCTCTAGGATACATGAAATAATCTCCTTAAAGGCTTGAGCTTTGGAAACAAAGCGAGGAAGGAAGGGATCTCACAGGCAACCCCATCTTGATAGCTGTCACAAACTCTCATGCGGCAAAAGAGCTTGGAGTCGAAGAACTGCTTGAGAATAGTTACTGGGGAGAAATCTATAAATTAATATCTGAAAAATTCTTCTGGAACATGGCTCACACTTATTCATTACTTATTATTATGAGCCAGAAACTGTGAGAAGCACAGGTGCCTAATCTCATTCAAGCCTCTCAAAATCCTAATTAGGTTAGGCCCATTGTTCCCATTCTGCAGGTGAGGAAAATGAGGCTCACAGGATTTATGTAACTTTTCCAGCACAGTGAGGGGCAGAGTTGGGATCTGGCACAGGTTTGACCTCAGGATTATGCTCCTTTACAATTGTGTTCCTTCCATCCCACTTACCATTCCTGTCGATGCCATTTCTCTAATCACTGGGGACCTACTATTGGTTGCCCACTATCTTTCACTGCTTCTGCTCACTGTCAGGGAATTAAAGGAATTTTCCATCCAAGTGTTCTTGGCTTCCTTTAAGATGCTGACCAAGTTGCTCTGCTGTATTTATGTGGTGTTTTGCTTCTTCAGTATCACTTCGGTTTCCTTAAGTCTGGACAGCTCTGTCTGTGATCAGGTTCTCTGTGAAGACCAGGGCCTCTGTGTCAAGACCAGGGCTTCCTATACATACGTGTGCAGGAAGATGTTTCCCTATGGGTATTTACTAAAAATGCACATTCACAACACCCACCCCTAGATGTTTGGGTTCAGTGGGCCCAGGGAGGATTCTGGGGGCTCATCTTCAGCAAAAATTTAGGTAAATTGCGGTGAAGGTGGCCCATGGTGCATCCTTTGAGCACCACAGCTCTAGCCAATCCTTTCTCTACTTTATCTTTAATTTATTCAAGTCACTGCTTGTTTGGTTACAAGGACCAGGAACTCTCTCAAGTTCAAATGTAAAGGGAGCTGGTGGCTGCAAAGGAGGACAAGGTGACATTATGAGAAAGAGAAGAGCCAACTCAAGAACTAGACAATTGTCAAAGAGCTCTTCTATTTTGCTCTTTAAGCTCCATGGGTCCTTGTCGTCTCCATCCTTTAGGGCTGCATGAAAGTATGTCTGTTCCATCTCATCTCTGTAAATCAGCTTTATCCTATCTGCCCATGGCCTTCACTTGGGAAGTCTGAACTGGGTCCTAAATTTGACATATCACTGCATTATACTCACTAAACACAATCTCTATGCTGCTTGCTTCAATACTTCAAACAAGAATCTGACTAGGGCTTCCCTGGTGGCGCAGTGGTTAAGAGTCCGCCTGCCGACGCAGGGGACACGGGTTCGTGTCCTGGTCCGGGAAGATCCCACATGCCACGGAGCGCCTGGGCCCTTGAGCCATGGCCGCTGAGCCTGCGCGTCAGGAGCCTGTGCTTCGCAATGGGAGAGGCCACAGTAGTGAGAGGCCCGCGTACCGCAAAAAAAAAAAAAAAAAAGAATGACTAGCTCAGCTTAACTGTCCATGGGTCAGCTGCCTTTGAGCAAGTGGCCACCCTCGTGCAGTCACTGAGGTTATGTTGGTAAGTGGCAGGGTACACGGTCCTGTACTGCAAACACGTGCATGTAAATCTGCCACTGAATCTGGAATTAAAAGCAGGAGGGAAGCTGGCTAAGAAGATGGCTGTGGGTCGGGGTGAAATCACAGCTGTGGCTACCAGTGTCATCGTCACAGAAACCTTCTTAAGACTTCGCTTTTTATCTTGTCAGCTCTCAGCTCAACTGCTCCAACTTTTCTCTAACTGCTCCATCCTAAACATGGAGCCCAGTCCACAAAGGTTCTTCTTAACATTCAGAGCCGTCTGTGACCTGGCCCCGCTGTACCCTTCTACCATCACCTGCCCTACAGGAACCACCTGCTGCAGGTGGACCTCTACTCCTTCCACTCTTTCAGTGTGCCATGCTCAGTCTGGAATGTTTCCACTTTCTCTACGTTTACTTATTTTTTTCTTTGAAGTCCTGTTAAACCTTACTACCCTTATGAAACCTTTCAAGGTCACTCATCCCTCAACCACTTTCTGTGTGGTCTATTCTGAACTTCATTACATTTGGTCTTGTGTTATGCCGTTTCAGACCTTTCATCTTATTTCACCAAAGGCAATGATTTGAAGGCAAGAATTACATTCTACAAGGCTGACTTCTCTAGAGCCTAGAAGTAGCAAGGCCACCAAGAAAATAAGACAAAGCACTGGAAGAGCTATTAGCAGATATACCCAGTGAACTTAAATACTATGTTTCGATCTCACTCTTATTTTTTAGCCAAACTAGCTACAGATTAGGCCCACAGGATACATGATTTCCTTTCATTTTAATTTATTTTTCTTTTATACCTCAACTAAAGTCACTTTCATTCAACTGGTTGAGTTAAAGTCAATATCCATTGATAGTCACACAGAACAAAACGGTGATAAAATTGAACAAAAGTCAGATTTTAGCTAAGATGTCATTGTTAAGAAGACTTTTAAATGAAAGCAGACAAGGTAGCATGGCAACATACTTACACGAGCTAATTAATTTTAAAAGACATTACCTCATAGCCGAGTAAGTGTCCATTGCTCAACTTCCAAGGAACAGCGTTCCAAGAAACTTCAATTTCTGAGGAAGACAAGCTATTTGCACAAACTTGAGATGGAGCTACTGTAGGCTCTATTTGGGAACAGAAAAATATATTGAAGTTCTTATTTTTTTAAAAAAAGCATTTTAACATATTTGAACATGTAAAATATTCCGTAAAAATATTTGAAAACATGAACCACGTCTTGGTCACTTTCCATTTCCTAGGAAGAGATAGCATCACAGCCACAGGCTTTTCCTTGCTGAACAGCCAGAGCAACTTGCTCCCTCTCTGGCACTCCCTTCTTGGCATCCTACTTTCCTCCCCATCGTTATTTCTCTCCTCTCCGTCCCACAGTGCCTATGGGAAATCCTATGCCCACAAGTGCTACTTATTTTATTTTATTTTTTGTTTTTCCAAATAACGGTCAAGGTCTACAGAGTTCATTTATTCAATAAGCATTTAGTGAGCGCCTTGTCTAGCCAGGCCCACAAGAGGGGCAAAGTTAAATGAGATCCTGTACTCTTCTGGAGGAGATAAGCACACACAGAGCTTAATACACAGGAAGAAATCCCCTGTGGAATGGAGAACTCTTGGGGCTTCATGGATCTCACAGCGATTCTTTCCTCTTAGGAGCTCTGAGCACAGATGCGTCCTCCCCCAATATCCATTTCTACGTTAAAGGATCCTGCCCCCTGGCCATGGCTGATGCATACTGAGATAGACCCCTGGTCCAAGGATGGGCCTATTAGATTTTTTTCTCTTGAGAATTTGAAACGTGCTTTGGAGAAAAGAGGAAGACTTGAGGCCAATCAATCCAGCCCTGGTGCCCTAGAGAAGCCCTAGGTTTCTGAGGGCCCAGAGCTTCTCTGAATTAGGCCCACAGGATACATGATTTCCTTTCATTTTAATTTATTTTTCTTTTATACCTCAACTAAAGTCACTTTCATTCAACTGGTTGAGTTAAAGTCAATATCCATTGATAGTCACACAGAACAAAACGGTGATAAAATTGAACAAAAGTCAGATTTTAGCTAAGATGTCATTGTTAAGAAGACTTTTAAATGAAAGCAGACAAGGTAGCATGGCAACATACTTACACGAGCTAATTAATTTTAAAAGACATTACCTCATAGCCGAGTAAGTGTCCATTGCTCAACTTCCAAGGAACAGCGTTCCAAGAAACTTCAATTTCTGAGGAAGACAAGCTATTTGCACAAACTTGAGATGGAGCTACTGTAGGCTCTATTTGGGAACAGAAAAATATATTGAAGTTCTTATTTTTTTAAAAAAAGCATTTTAACATATTTGAACATGTAAAATATTCCGTAAAAATATTTGAAAACATGAACCACGTCTTGGTCACTTTCCATTTCCTAGGAAGAGATAGCATCACAGCCACAGGCTTTTCCTTGCTGAACAGCCAGAGCAACTTGCTCCCTCTCTGGCACTCCCTTCTTGGCATCCTACTTTCCTCCCCATCGTTATTTCTCTCCTCTCCGTCCCACAGTGCCTATGGGAAATCCTATGCCCACAAGTGCTACTTATTTTATTTTATTTTTTGTTTTTCCAAATAACGGTCAAGGTCTACAGAGTTCATTTATTCAATAAGCATTTAGTGAGCGCCTTGTCTAGCCAGGCCCACAAGAGGGGCAAAGTTAAATGAGATCCTGTACTCTTCTGGAGGAGATAAGCACACACAGAGCTTAATACACAGGAAGAAATCCCCTGTGGAATGGAGAACTCTTGGGGCTTCATGGATCTCACAGCGATTCTTTCCTCTTAGGAGCTCTGAGCACAGATGCGTCCTCCCCCAATATCCATTTCTACGTTAAAGGATCCTGCCCCCTGGCCATGGCTGATGCATACTGAGATAGACCCCTGGTCCAAGGATGGGCCTATTAGATTTTTTTCTCTTGAGAATTTGAAACGTGCTTTGGAGAAAAGAGGAAGACTTGAGGCCAATCAATCCAGCCCTGGTGCCCTAGAGAAGCCCTAGGTTTCTGAGGGCCCAGAGCTTCTCTGATTAAGGCTCTTCATGAGGTTTGCTATTTACCTCTCTCTTTGAATCAATGAAAGGTGTGAGTATATTTCCAATAAATCCCTGATTTTTTTTTTTTTTTTTGCGGTACGCGGGCCTCTCACTGTTGTGGCCTCTCCCGTCGCGGAGCACAGGTTCCGGACGCATGAGGTTTGCTATTTACCTCTCTCTTTGAATCAATGAAAGGTGTGAGTATATTTCCAATAAATCCCTGATTTTTTTTTTTTTTTTTGCGGTACGCGGGCCTCTCACTGTTGTGGCCTCTCCCGCCGCGGAGCACAGGCTCCGGACGCGCAGGCTCAGCGTCCACGGCTCATGGGCCCAGCCGCTCCGCGGCACGTGGGATCTTCCCGGACCGGGGCACGAACCCGTGTCCCCTGCATCGGCAGGCGGACTCTCAACCACTGCGCCACCAGGGAAGCCCCAATCCCGGCTTTTTTAAAAGACAAGTCAAATCAGTTTCTGACATTTGGAACAGAAAGACCTTTAACCAAATCATCAGTGGTGGCGAGAATGGAAACAGGAGAAGGAAAGTGCAGGAGGCAAGAAGTTACTAAAAGGCTTTGGCCATCCCTCCTTCCCAGCTTCCGCCCGCCCCCAACCCTGTCTACCCAAACTCCCTGGTTAATTTAATTGCCATCACCCCTCAGACTCCTGACCTGCTCTTGTAATGATAATCCTTCTCAGCAACTCTTGGAGATGGGGTCTGGCTATGAATATAAAAGCTCTTGGTTTTGCAAAAAATTTAAAAATCCTGTTCCCTTTTTCTCTCAGAATTCAGTGGGAAAAGAGAGAACAAAAATGGGAGGTGACACCATGACGAGAAATTGAGCCTCCTTACTGTTTTTAGGAATGACAACTGTGGACCCACTTTCTCAATTTACTGTAAGGCTTGGAGGATAGAGGAGATACTGTGAAATCGTATTTCGTGAGCTCAAACTATTCAAGAGCAAAGGCCTGGGATTAAAATACTAGCTCAATAGGTCTGTATGGATTTTGGCAAGTTCATTAATTTCTTTCACCAAGCTTCCATCCTCTCCTGTGTAACTGGGAAATAACAATAGTACCTACTTGTCATTCCTCCTTGGAAAATTCAAATTAGGTAATGTCTGGCTGATAGTAAGCATCTAATACATGCTAGCTCCTGCCATTCTAACCAGCTAGAACCGCATGAGACAGCCAATATTCAGCTGCTTTTGACCTATAAAATGGCAATTTCATAGGATTCTCCTAACATTACTATTATGTTTACTATTACTTTCTGGGACAGAAAGGCAGAGAAAAGGAGTGAGTCCAGAGTGGAGTGCGTATGAACCTACACCGACTACAACTGGTGAAACCCATCCTTGAACCTCCATATTCCATATATCTCCCCAATGTCAGGCTTCTGGTCATCCCCCTCCATCCTGCTAAAACCTTTCTCAGGTCTAGGAACCACTATAAAACTTCAGACTACGGCACTTCAAAAAGAGTATCTTAATCTTACCTCCCAAAGAAGAAAGCCGTAGAAGGCTGTGCTACCCCCTGCTTCACAGACTGGAACTCAATGTATTCCTCATAAGCATATTTTTAACTAATTATTACCCCCTCTAACTATCCATTGAGTCTCACACTTCATGTAGGCATGGTTGATCTTTATTACCTGGACTAGCAACTATGACTTCAATCATTCTCCTTTTCAAGAAATATATCTGAAGTCACAAAGAACTTCCAAATGGGTTTTTGGAGCACAATTGGTTGATTAAGTGTGGAACTGACATACACATCTTCCTTGACTTATGATGGGGTTACATCTCGATAAACACATCTTAATTTGAAAATATCATAAGTTGAAAATGCATTTAATATACCTAATATAGCAAACAGCAAAGCTTAGCCTAGCCTACCTTAAACAGGCTCTGAACACTTACATTAGCCTACAGTTGGGCAAAATCATCTAATACAAGGCCTATTTTACAATAAAGTGTTGAGTATCTCCTGTAATTTATTGACTACTGTACTGAAAGTGAAAAATAGAACGGTTGCATGGAACAGAATAATTTTAAGTATATCCATTGTTTACCCTTGTGGTTGTCTGGCTGACTAGGCGCTGTAGCTACTGCTGCCCAGCATCCTGAGAGATCATTTTACTCCGTATCACTAGCCCAGGAAAAGATTAAAATTAGAAACTCGAAGTGCAATTTCTACTGAAATGTGTCTCACTTCACACCACTGTAAAGTCAAAAAATCATTAAGTTGAAGACTGTCTGTCTAATCACAGCCTTTCCATACCTTCTTCTGCAGAGAACACTGTTGTCACTGGGCTAAATGGTCCTTCACCTTTGTTATTATAAACACCCACTTTAACTTCATACAGTGAAAATGGCAGGATGCTTTCATTTCTAAAGACATATCTTGGGGTATCAGGAGATGTGACCACTGTCTGGATCCAGTTGCTTACTCCAACAGGGCGGAAAGCAACAACATATCCAAAACCTTCACCATTCTGTAGTTCTTCAGGGACTGGCTGTAAAGGAAAGGCATATTAACTCACGCTTTCACACGAGCAAGGCAAAAATAAATGCAGATCTAATGGGGAGTCTTTTGTAAAAGCCATCAAATAATAATCCACATTGTATTAAGTGGTTGGATTAAAAAAGGAGAAAAAGGTCAGGGGGACAGTCAGCTGCTTTTAAATAAACATATGCCACTCTTTCATAGCCATCAGATAACTAACTTGAATTTTCCTAAATTATTCAGATTTTTGAGCATCTTGCAGCCCCAATTTGAGTTCTGAATTATAAAGATATACTTTCAGTTGAAATACTGCATCTCTAAATCAAATAAAAATCATCTCATCCATAATGTTGATTTTATAGAAAAAAAACTACACATTGACATGATAATTCAGAGCAAGAGTAAAACTTTAAAAAAGGAAATAAAAACAATATATTAAACTCAAAGCTGTATTTGCATCATGCCAAAAATTCCTATCGACACTCCATAATCTCTCGGCTTCTTATTTTTCCATCCACATCTTCAAATAATATAGACAATTCTAGTGCCTTCTGACTTTGTTAATTAATATTTTTCCTAATTATGACTTAAAGCAAGGGCTGAGAGAATGGCTAGGACGCAGCCCCGGCTGGAGAAGTGGCGTGTGCATCACCAGCAGGGGGAGCAGCTCCAGAGGTGCTGCTCCAGAGTAAACAGCCAGGACTAGACTCTCACCCCTATGTTTACCAGCCAGATGACCTCGGGCAAATTATTTAACATCTCTATGCCTTAGTGCTTTCACCTAAAAAATGTTGCGAGGATAAAATGAAAAAAATATGCAAAATGCTAGGAACAATGATTAACACAGAGTGAACACTCAAAAATATTAGCTACTAGTTCCAGCCACCACCACTAGCACCACCCAGGATGCCATGAGTGTGGGAAGGGCGTCATGCTGAGGGGCAGGCGCTGTGCAGACACTTACATCCCAGGTGATCACCAGCTCAGACCGGCTCCCACCTCCTCCACTGGCATCTGAAGGAGGCACTTCCGGCACTGAAAGTTTAGAAAGAAAGACTGAAACCGTGCTAGCATCTAGTAATATGTATCTGAAAGAAGACTCAGTGTTGTTTACTTTTTTTTTTTTTTTTTTTTTTG